AATATTAATATTAAAAATGAGTGAACTGCAGTCACCCCAGGGAGTGGGGAATTCTCTCTGACCCCGTTCCCAAAGGCCATGTGTGCTCAGGCAGGCCATAAAAGCCCACGGACAATGGAAACTGTCCAAACAGCATTTAATCGGCTGGACGGGCCCGCTCCGAGGGCGCCGTCCCGGCCTATTTACCGCCCGGCAGTGGTAAGTGCAACATGCTTCTCTAACTGCAGGCAGAAAGGGCTCCGAGGGCATGGGGCGAGCCCCAGGTGCTACCACGGGGCCCGACTCGCTCCGAACATGTAACTGCACACCAAAATGCTGCTCTTCTAATTATGTGATATTTTATATATCCATGTCCATGTATTTCATAAACGTGTAGACAAGGGGCAGGCAAACAGGGAACCAGGTCATTCACAGCAATAGGTTTAGGGCTTCCACAGGTTTATCCCTCAGGCAAACACGCCTGCGTGGGCCGTGGCGGACAAACCACAACAGTATTAATTTAAAAGAATTTTGCACAGGGAACCAAAAGTCTTTCAAGTCCTTCTCTAAACTGTTAGTCTGAAGCATTGACAAGTTACATCAGGCCCCAAAAATATAATGAAATTGTTTTTACATGCTCAGAGATCTCAAGTAAAACCATGTTTTTCCTGCTGCTTAGCAGAGCCAACTGTGCTTGTGGTTCCTCCCTCCCAAAAAATGAAAGCTGAGACTAGTCCCCTGAGATCTCATAATCTGCCAGATAAAACTGCTGTACCTCCAGCAAACATGTTAACATAACTGACGAGATATACTATATACAACAAAAAAAGGCACAAGAATAGGAAAAAACCCATTGCTTTAATTCTACAGATGCTCTCTACCTATTTACATAGTATCGAAAATATCTGCCTCAAATCCAGCAATGGCAGCCAATTCAGCTATTTATTACTTATTTGCAAAAAAATCGTATTTCAATGACAGCAAATCCGAGCTCAGGAACATGCCTCTGCGCTTGGACAAACTGAAAGGGGACCAGGGAACAAAAATGCCTTCAGTTAACGACGACAATAATCTGTCTTGCCTTGGAAGCAAGCAGGAGAGCCTGAGAAAGTTCAACATCCAAGTCCAAGTAGCAACAGAGGCTCATCCCTTGCACAGTTTAGTCAAACCCAGCCGTGCTCAGCAGCCTACCTGGGGATTTCAGCGAACCCCTGTGGAGTGCAGCTTCATTTGAACAAGGATAGGCGAGTCCAGCCTCCACAGGTTATCCACAAGACAACTGGATGCTATTCTGCTCTAGAAAGCAATTACATTTTTTCTCATGAAGAATCAAAACCACGTTTCTGTTTGAGCTCTTCACAAAAGAAAGGTTTAGCTGTGAACAGTAAAAAAAGGATGCTATGTTTTAACACAAAAGCTACAATATACACAGCAAAAGAACCACAGTGTGCCTCTCTTTTTATTCTTTATTTTACAGTTCACAATTAGAAACCTACTGATAAATTACACAGTTCACCCTCCTGTTTGGGGTTTTGAAATGCCTCAGAGTCGTGCTGCCAATCCCGTCTCATCCCAGGAAGATGGCTCAAGGTGCCACCAGGTTACACGAGGCAGAGCGGCCAAACAACCCGCGCCAAACACCTCCACAGGCCACACTTCACGTGGGAAGTTAACGGGC